GCATGCGGCCTGCAGGCCGTGGACTGGACACCCCGCTCTACCCCTTGTGCTCCCCCGAACCACCACCTCAGTGAGCAAAGCCCAGGAAACAGCTAAGCACCAGATGCCACTGCAGGGGGCGGGGGCCAGGAGATCTGTGTTCTCGGGTGGCTCTGTGACAGCCCTGTGACACTCGGGGTAGACGTGGGAAAACCTGACCTCAGTCTTCAGTTTCACCCCCCTCCCTGCGGAGGGGCTGGGTCAACTCCATGGTTTCGGGGGGCCTCGACGTTTTGCTCTCACCCCATCCCCACCCCATCCATCTCTTACCACCTCCTGGAGAGGAAAGCCTACGAGGGCACACCCACCTTGTACGGGGTCCCTGCGGGACAGGGCTGGTCATGTGTCAGAGCCACCTTGCCGGAACCTGTTCCCTCAGCGCTGGTGCCAGCCGAGGAAGGCGAGCCCACTGGCCAGCAGGAGGTTTCTCAGGCCAGGCGATGGGGGAGCCGATGATCCTGGAGCCCAGAGCCCAGGTCCGAAACCACTCCCAGGGTAGGAGGGAACCTGGGCATCAGCCTGGGCTCCTGTGAGCACAGGTCACGTGCGCCAGGCAAGTTCCCCACAAATCTCAGGGACTGTTCTCACATCTCAACCAATCCCCTCATTTGGGAGATGGGGAAAAGGAGGCCCAGAGAGTGGAAGGGACTGGCCTAAGGTCACACAGCAAGGCTGTGGCTGAGAGGGAAACACCACTCAGGCCTGACCCCCAGCCCAGGGCTCCCTGCACACGCCACCTCCCACAGCAGACATTTTTCCAAATGGACAATCACGCACCCCACAGGGGAACCGAGACGCCTTCCTTGCCAGCCTTTGGGAACGGCCAGAGACTGGTACACCGATCACATGTTCAGCTGCTGTGTTCACCTGTTCATCCTAGCACGTGCATGCGACAGTGTCTGGTGTGTGCCAGGAACTCAGGGAAACTTGGTCAGCTACACCAAGGCTCAGTGGAGGAAGGACTGGAGGCAGAACCCACTTCTCAGACCAAGCCCTGGGGCAGGGGGCGGGAGAGCAGGAACTGACAGGGAGGAAATGGGATCTGACTTTCTGGCGCTCGGGGGGGTCAGCCAGGCTGTATTGGACAAGCAGGGACGCTGTTGGCCAGGGCTCCAGAAATCCGAAGTGAGAGTCAGGTTGCTCCCAGTCCCACTGAAGGTATGAACTCAAGGCCTGTCTGTGTGTTTCTGCGACTGGGCAAGGCCTCTGAGCCAGACACTCTGTCATTTAGTCAGTCGCTCACTCGCTCACTCTCCGCAACTCCAGAGTGAAAGTCAGGGTGAGTCACAACATTGCCTGCGTCCTTGTCAGAGCCGTCTGACCCAGAGGCTGGTGCACACAGCACCTCTGGCCAGGAGCTGAGCCCCCAAAGCATAAAGGCCTGAGCTGAAGTCATGGAGAAGCCACTTCTCCTCCCCTGAGACTCACAACCGTGCTTGTAAAATGGAGATGATGATGTCTTCCTGCCTCCACTGAGAAGTGCTCTGAAGGTCGCACACAGGGACAGATACGAGATTATTAATAAGGATAACACTGCCATCGCTGGCCCCCACAGAACCCCAATCTCTGGATGTCCGTTATCATCATCATTATGGTTGTCAACAACACAGTAACACCCACCGGTTACTGGGCACTGGGCTGTGAGCCTTGTTAAAGCGACTCCCCATTTGCTGAAGCCTGGCATGCCTCTGAAGTCATGTGGCCGCTTCGCTGACCCTCGAGGTAGGCAGCACTGGCTGTTTGGCCCATGAGGCAACCGAGCCCCTGGGAAAACTTGGCAACCATGTGCCTTAACTCACTGACAAGAGAACACCGGGATACAAAGGACTGTAGAGAATGGGTCCAGAGGGGGAAACTGAAACCCAGAGAGGGAAAGGGGCCTGCCTACTTCATTCATTCAGGCCTTCCTGAGACCTTCTCAGGAGCACACCCGAGAAGGAGGCAGCGTTTGCTGCTCTAGTTTTATAATGCTGCCCCCACTCCACTGCTTTGCCAGCGGTGGGTGCAGCTGGCAACCAGTGCCAATTACTTTCCGAGTCTGAGGCTTCATTTCCCCAGATGCCAGGTGGGGAAACTAACCTTGGTCCAGCAATGAGTTCTAGAAGCCAACACTGCTTCCACAGGCCAACATCAGGCCCAGGAGGCCAGTCTCGGCGCCCTTGCTCCCTGCTGCCCCCAGCTCCGGGGACATCTGGAGTCACAGAGTTGTGCAACCATCACTGCCATCTAATTTCAGAATTCCAGCTGTTGTTCGAAAGCATGGAGTGCAGCCCCCACTGTTCCTTAGGAGCCCAGGGCCCCTCCCCGATTTGGCCCCAATGCCACTTTTCTGGAAAGAACCGGGGTGCCCCTAGGAAGAGTTTCTCTGGGGCAGAAGTTGAGCAAAATGTAAACATTCAGTGGACATTGTGTTTCACTCCATGAAACAAAGTTGTGGGTTTTCTGGGAAAGGGGCCCACCGTATGAGCCCAGCCTCGCCTCTCGAGCGGCCCTGAATGCCACGATTGTACTGACTTTGGCCTCAGTTTCCCCATCTGCTCCCTGGGAAGCAGCTGAAACATATGCCTCCAACATCCCACAAAGGGATCCTCCCCAACAAATGGCTAATCACATCCACCTTGTCAGAAGAAAAAGGCCAGCCTGTTAGTCGGCCAAGATTGGCAAGAGCAGTAGGCTCGGGCTGGCCTGGAGAGACTCCAGCATTGTTGCAGGGAGTAAAGAGGTGGAGAAGGGTAGGGGGACTGTTTCTTTGGGAGTTTCTTCACCCCCATGGCCTTTATCACCTGGCTTGCTCCTGGACCAGAATCTAAATCCCTTGCGTGTTTCCTACAAAGGGCTTTTCTAGTCTTCATCTCATTAGACTTTACTCATAATCCTGAGAGAGAAGGTAGGGAGGCTATAATTACCCCCATTTTGTGGGTGGATTAACTGAGGCTCAGAGAAGGTAAGTGACTTTTCCAAGGTCACACAGCTAATGAGTGGCAGAGCAAAGCTAGAAGACAGAAGCCAGTGTCGAGGCTTTCTTGCCATTGGCCAGTGCTGATGGGTACTGGGACAGCTTCCGGGATTGTCTTTGGTCCAGTAAGGAAGGCAGCAAGATTCTGAGTAAACTGTTGCCAATTCATCCACAGCAGTTATGTTACAAATGCTTCCTATAGGGACTGATTCTGCTGCCCCCCAAAATGTGAAAGACCCTATTCTAAGGGATAAGAAGAGCATTGAGAAGTAGCCAAGGCTGATGTGTCCATCCCTATTCTACAAAAGAGGAAACTGAGGCCCAGAAAGGGGACATGATGAGGCCAAGGCCACAGAGCATGTCAGTGCCAGAAAAGGACCTCAGTGTGGGGCTGTGGGCTTGCAGGCCAAACGGCTTCCCCTGCACCACCCGCTCGCTGCCTGTGGAAATCTACCGCCTCTCGAATTTCCTTGTCTCCTCCAGTAAACTGACCGTGGTTAAAACCCAGAGTCTTATCTTTCTCTGCTCTGACCCCTACAGAGTTGCCTGGCTCCTTGGAGGGCTTCTGGAAGCTCAAGGAACTTGTGGAATAAATGCATGGACTGACCTCTACTTCCCCTTACCACGCCCCCTCCCCCCACTCGACGCACATATCCGTTTAGTTCCCCTTCTCCCTACCCATTTGCCCAAATTTCAGGGAAAGACCAGCAGGCCCCCTCCTGGGGACTCCTAATCCACCTCCTCTGTCCTGGCTGTGCTGTGGCTGCGGACAGAGGATTCCTTGTTCCCAGTGCTTCCTGCCCAGAGATCTCCGTGGGGCCCGTGCACTGGCAGGAAGGAGCCAAATCCCTCCTTTTAGCTGGAACTAACACCACCCCCTACTCCCATTCCCTCTCCCTGCCACCACCCCCCTCCCCACCCCCAGCAACATGCTCCCAGCTCTGTTTGACATTTATTCTACTTGCCCCAGCCTGGCTCAGCCCCGCCCATCCCCTACAGCCCCTGCTCCTTAGGGAGAGAGACACACCCCCCAAGACTTCCCCTAGGGGTACAGAGGTGCCTCACAGCTAACCAAAAATAAAAACCAGAGGATTCCAGCATGACAGCATCACCGCCCTGGCAGTTGTGTCTTACTAATAACCCCACGATGACATTTGCGTATTACTTCACAATTCCCCCATCAGTGTGACTCCATTGGCTAGGTCCTTTCTCCACGCCCTCGTCCTGCCAGACTCACAGAACCTCAGAGTTAGAAGGGGCCTTTGACACGTCCCGGGGCCAGTGGTTTGCAAAACGTCCCACACAGAGCCAAGGACAGTTCCCAGTCTCAAGCTGCTGGGGGCTGAGGAACTAGCCAGTTGGGGTGCCCCAGCCCAGCCTTACCCTGACTCCAACCACTACTGCATCCCCTTTCCCTGACTTGTACATTGAGAGTCTTTCAAGTTCATTTGCAAAGGGAACTTTCCAGCTAGAAAGTGGGAAAACAACTCATTTACTCTGACCCCACCTTCCCCAACCCCCTGCCCTGACTTTGTATATATATCCCTGAGGCCAACAAAAGGGAAGGTAGCTGCCTAAGGTCGCTTAGTCATCGGTGGCAAAACCAGAACCCAAACACCCTCTGCTGAACCCGGTCTACAATCTAGAAGTGGTTAAGCAAAAGAAAACAAGGGCTCTGGTTTCCACTAATACAGCTTCCAGGTCCAAGGTCATCCGTCACCAGCCATGATAGCATGGAAAAAGCTACACAGGCAGAGCACGCTGTCTACCACTGATTTGCTCAATAAATATGCATTTCAGCCCCCACCTCAAAATAAGCCAAAACCACGGAGGACCCACTGCACTGCCCCCCTTTTCAAACCCACCAGAAATCTGTGGCCTAGACAAATCCTCATGCCTCCACAGCAGTAAAATGTAACGAAACAGAGAGCCTGAGGTCCTGGAAGACCGACTGTCCAACCTGAGCAGGAGAAGGAAAGACCGGCTGTGCCAGTGCGAGACTCACCAGTCCTCGGTTCGCACCGCTCCCTGGGGGGACCACGTCACTCAGGCACCTAGAAGGAGGGAACGGTGTTAGCTCCTCTGAACTGAGATCATGGGCCCAGCATGGAGCTGGCAATTGAGAGGCTGGCATTTGACTCTCTGAGGAACCTCGGAGAAGTTGCTGAACCTGTTAAACAGAAAGGCCCGTGTGACTACACAGAGAGCAAAAAGGAAAGGAACAAATACGATGCTGGAGCGGCCAGCAGGGCCCAGGCTGTGAACAGCTTTGGAGGCCAAGGCAGAGAGTTCGGTGTTGATTCCAAGAGCAGTGAGGAATGGCTCGTAATGCAGAGACTGGATGGAAACGGGCAAGAGGAGCTTTAGGACCGTGAGTCAGGAGGTCATTGCAGTTGTGCAGGGGGTGTGTGACCAGGGCCCAGACTGGATGGTCGCAGTAGAGCTGGAAAAAGTGGCAATGGGTTGGATCTGGGGGGTGAGGGAGGGCAGAGGCCTACCTGCCCCTTGGGTACTTACTTCCCTGTCTGTGCCACGGGCTCCAGCACCCAGGAAAAAATACCCATTACTCTCCCAACCTGGCCTACCTTTGCCTCAGTCTCCCCATCGGTAAAAATAAATATGGTCAGACTCAATGGTCCCTGGGGTCTTTTTAGCATTAAGATTCTGTTCTGGTATAATCTGCTCACAGTATTAAGCCCCTTTTTAATCATCTTTAAGCCCCAACTGCAGGACCAGCCTGCTACACAATGGGGCAGGACGGCTGGAGGGAGAAGCCTCAGGTCCCCTGGACTCTCACACTCAGAACAGTAAGCCTCCAGGTGGGCTGAGACATTTCCACTTCCTGTAGAACATAAGAATCGGGCGAATAGGAAGGTCACTTGGGCTGAGGTTGGAGCAGCAAGAACAGAAGTTGTGTGCCCAACTGCCTTTTCCTTTCCCAGCTCTGGAGGCCGGCAAGGGCCTCAGGACACTGCTACTCCAGCTGCAGCATCGGTCACCCGGCAACCTGCTTCCCACCCAGTCTCCTAGCACCCAGGCGGATCCTGGGAGGCAGAGCAGCACAGTGGTTACGAGCTTGGGCTCTGTCTGCCTCACACAGACCTGGTTTGAAGTCTGGCCCCACCACTCTCTAGTTACATGGCCTGGAACAAGGCACTTCACTTCTCTGAGTGCCGGCTTTCTCATTTGGAAAATAGCAGAAAATAGCGTCTGCTGCTTGGGCTAATGAGAGGATTAAATGAGATGATGCATGTGGAGAGCTCAGCACAGTGCCTTATCACAACAGTCCAGCAGGTAGCAGGGTCCAAAGCAGAGGCGGAAGCTGAGACCTGGGGAGGTGCGATGACGCACTGAGGACGAGTACAGCAAATCCGCACAGGAATGAGACCCAGAGCTGGGTTCTTCACAGCAGGGTCGTACGTACGGCATTCTGGTTCCGGCTTTTCAGATGAGAACGCTGAGGCTAAAAAATTACAAGTGACTTGGCCAAGGCCACAGAGAGACCCAACGGTACAAGAGGAATTTCATCCCCAGCCTGCTTGATGAAAAAGCCTGTGGTTTCCCCCACGTGCCTCCAGAAAGTAGATGTGTGTGGAGATTTCAGATTTCAGGGCTCTTTAAACCTGGAACAGGGACAAATGCAAATCTGGGCAGATGGGGGGGGGAGGGGGAGCTACCTGGAGAGGAAACCAGAAGGAGTTGGTGAAAACAAAAGCCTCTTTCTCAGAAGCCCTCCCTGGGGACCCGGCAGGAGAGGAGGGGGCTGACAAGCAGGGCCATCCGTCCTGCCACGGCTGAGCTGAGGGCTGAGTCTAAACAAACAGAAACAGTTCCAGCTTGGCCATCCACTTGTTGGGTGATCCTAGGCAGATCACTCACACACACACACACACACACACACACACACACACACACAGTCCTCTGTTTCTTCAACTCCAGAATGAGATGGCTGCACTGAAGGGTGTGTCAATTGTGAGAGACGAATAATAACCACCCCTCGCCAGCCCCTGACTCCTGGTCAGGCCCTGATCCCACGGCCCCAAATGGTGGCCTCTTGGCGCTGGCTCCGATATTACCCAGCAGGGCTGGGGCGTCCTGCAGGCAGATTCTGGCTGGATAGCCAGGTCACTTCCCCTCGACAGGCCTCAGCTTCCTCACCTGTGAAATGAGTACCTATCTTTGCCTGATCACCTATAGAACAGGAAGTTCCAAAGAGCTACCTCAGAGGCGACAAGTCCCCTGAGGTAATGAACAAAGCATCCCCCAAGGCCCCATCCCAAATGTACCCTCAAGCTCTTTTAACTCCTCCTCCTTTCCCTCCGGTCCATGTCCCCTTTGCACAAATGGAACAAGAGAATCCAAGCTGACGAGTGCAACAGGAGCAGCAAAACCCCTCACAGCTAACAGTAATAGCAACTGCCACCACAGCCAATACCTGACTACTCACCTGGGTGGGCCAGGCACTGGGCTAAGTGCTACACTGGGACTAAATCTCAGGTAATCCCCTCAATCAAGGAGGTAAATCCCACAATTAGTCTAGATTTACAGATGACAGGTTAAGGTTCAGCAAGGTGAAATGACTTGCCCAAGGTCATGTACATAGCAAGTGAGTAGCAGGGCCACCCAGGTATAAGCTCTTCTTTTGACCTCAGAAATCTTCATCTTGCTCTGACTGGAGTGGCTCAGTGGGTTGGGTGTCATCCTGCAAACCAAAAGGTTGCAGGTTCAGTTCTCAGCCAGGGTATATGCCTGGGTTGCAGGTCGTGGTTCCCTGGTTGGAGGCGTGGGAGAGGCAACCAATCAATGTTTCTCTTTCCCATTGATGCTTCTCCCTCCCTTCCCCTGTCTCCAAAAAGTAAATGAAATCTTTAAAAAATAAATTTAGCCCTGGCTGGTGTGGCTCAGTTGTTGAGTGCCAGCCTGTGAATCAAAGGGACGCCAGTTCAATTCCCAGTCAGGGCACAAGCCTGGGTTGTGGGCCAGGTCCCCCCAGTGGGGGGGGCAGGGGTGAGCAGCAACCACACATTAATGTTTCTCTCCCTCCCTTCCCCTCTCTAAAAAATAAATAAAAATCTTAAAAAAATAATAAACTTAAAATAAAAAAGAAGTCTTCATTTTATCCTTGAGGCTATGAATGAGGTTTCCAGGGTAACATTCCACACCATGGGGCATGGCGCAGATCTAGGCGGGCAGTGATTGGGAAATATCTCATCTTTATCCCCCGCAAGCCTCTCCGGATAACGGTCATGACAGACTTGCATTATCATTCAAATGTGTCCAATTCAGCTCTCTAACTGCAATAGCACTGTCCCATAGAAGTACTGTGCAAACCTTATATGTAACTTAAAAGTTTCCACTAGCCACATTTTATGCAGGTATGTATGTTTGTATGTACGTATTTATTCATTTTAGAGAGGGGGCAAGGAAGAGACAAAGAAACATTGATTGATTGCCTCTTATATGCACCCCAGCTGGGTCCCAAACCCGCAACCCAGGCATGTGCTGTGACTGGGAACCGAAGCCTCAACCTTTCACTTTGTGAGACGACACCCAACCAGCTGAGCCACAGCAGCGAGGGCGCAGTAGCCATATTTTTAAAAAATACAAAGGAATGAGTGAAATAAATTTTAATAGCATATTTATTTGACCAAATATGTCAATTTCAACATAAAATTGACATAAAAATATTATTGAGGTATCTTACATTCTTTTTTTCATACTGGGTCTTCTAAGTCTGGTGTGTAGCTTACATTCAGAGCACATCTCAACTCTTTTTTCTTTTTTTTGAAAGAAAAAATAACCAAATTTAATACACACATATGTCTGGGGACCCAACATACATGAGAGAGTCAGAGAGCACACATACAGGAGAGTTTCCCGCGCATCTCAGCTCTGATGCTAAACTGTCGTCAGATACTCAGATTCCCCAGCCTTCACAACTGAAGCAGGAGATTCATGAATCTAAGTTCCTAAATATACATAGAAGTTTTTCAATAACCAAATAGAGTATTCTTTTCAAATCTGAAGTTAATCAAATCGAATAAATTAAAAAGGGAGTTCCTCAGTGGCACCAGCCATGTTCCCAGTGCTCGACAGCCCCCTGTGGCTGGTGAACACCATTCGGGGCGGCTTACAGCTCGGGGCGGTCCAGTCCAGAGGGCGGGTGTGGCCTCTGGAACCCCAGGCCAGAGCCAGGCCTCCCAAGGGAAAGCTGAATCGGCGTAGAATGGTATCTTACTCATTTAACAAACCCCTACTGAGCCGGATACACATATATATATTTTTTATTTTATTTTAATCATTGTTCAAGAAGAGTTTACTGTCTTATATATATGTATATTTTTTTAAGTTTTTAATCCTCACCTGAGGACATTTTTTTAATTGCTTTTAGAGAGAGGGGAAGGGAGAAGGGAAAGGAGAGAGAGAAACCTTGATGTGAGAGAGAAACATCAGTTGGATCCATCAGTTGGACCCGTCATACATGGGGCCATACCTGCCCGGACGGGGGACTGAACCTGCATATGTGCCCCGACCAGGAATTGAACCAGCAATCTTTTGGTGGACGGGACAACACTCCAACACACTGAGCTACCTGGCCAGGGCTGAGCCTAATATTAACATCTACATCTATCCACAGCCTAAAAACTCAAATATGAGACTAATATTAATTTCTGGGGTGTACATCTGGGGTTTATTATATTCACAATGATGGTAACAAAGGGATCAGAGCAACTATTGTTCAAAGGATGTCACTTGGGCTTAGAGAGGTGGGCCACCTGCCCAAGGTCACCTAGCGCTGACCCCAGGCCTGTCTGACTTGAAAGCCTGAGCTCTGTCCCAAAAGCTTGACAGGGGCCCCACCTGGAGCTCAGCCTCCTCAAAGAAGAAATAAGCCTTCGCCACTATTCTCGGCCGCCCCTCCTCCCCCAGGCTAGAGAATGGCCTAGAGTAAGACGCCCAATGAAGAGGGTAAAGTAGAAGAAGAGCAGGGGAGAGGCATGGCATGCCTGGCCTGCACTGGGCGGTGGCCCTGTGCACAGGGCTTAGGCCGCTG